TTTGCCACTTTGGAATGAAGCTCTGGGGTGTCAGACTTGGCACCGATTTTTCCAAACTATAAACGGTATTCCAGCTACAGTGAGAAGTCAGCATTACTGTATTTTATTACCTGTGCTATGAGCATAAAAATGGATTTCAATGTTCTCCCTTGATCATTCTATTATAATTTAAAGCAGCACAAAATCCTCTGTACATATCATTTTATAACTGCTTGTAGTGACTACAGTGTGAACTCCTTAGGAACATAAAATACATATTCAGAATATGCTTTCTTCCTAGCATATTATTCATTACTAAATAGGAGGAATACCATGTTAGGTTTCATGGGATGATCAGGCCATTATTTGTCCACCTTCCCATCTCATCCACCACCCTCCTGCCATCAGAAAGACAGCAGCTTTTTAAGTGATGGCACTGAGCAGTAGGGAAGAGAGAAGGTAGGTTTGGTACTCCCCAAAAGAGGGCCTACATCTGATCTATCATATGGTGTTTAATGCTGGTTTTCATGCCTTACATATAGATTCAAACTATCAACAATCACCAAGGGCTTTAATCCCAAGTCCATCTGATTCGCAGACTCGTGGGCAGTAAGGAAAAGAAAGCAGTTACATCCATTGATATTTCAACCAACTTCTTCATCCAACCTAATGTATTCTTCAGCAGCAGAGTAATTTGTAAACATTCTGCAAACCATCTGACTAAATCCCTGAAACAGAGTTGGAACTCAAATTCTTTTTAGGAATATGGTATGTTGCTTTAGTGATCAATCCATACCTATGTTCAAATTAATTTAGATACAAGATGTCAATTTCAATTTACTACAGAGGCACACATGCACATTCGCACATTTGCATTCACTGTACACATAATAGTCTTTCTCATCTCACCTAAATGTGTAGGGCACTCACACAAACCTTCTACTCTAGATAGGAAACACATGGCTTCCAGGTCAGAGGTTAAACCAGGGGCCCAGGCTGAGGTGTAGTCCTTGGGCTGAATGTAATCCATAAATACATTGATTGTTTTGTACAATGTTTAAAAATTTTGGAATTTTCATTTAAAAAAATCCAGATTTTTCTTCAGAAAATCTGACAAACTGGCCCTTCATTTCTACAAAACAACAGGAGCTGAAGGTGAATAGTGACAGGCCCCATAGATAACGGGAGAACTTTCCACCTCGCCCTAGTTCTCAACACTCCCTATCAACAATCTTAGAACTGGCTGCTTTGCTTATGTTCAACATCTATTTTGCCCTGGCATGCATTTGAGGTTGAAGCCCCTGTTCTAGGTACATTATACTTCCCCAAATGCTATGAGTTAAATTGTGGCCCCCCCAAATTCATATGTGAAAGTCCTAATCCCCCATACCTCAGAATGTGACCTTGTTTGGAGAGAGGATCTTTACAGAAGTAATCAAGTTAAAGCAAGTCATTACTGTGGGCCCTGATCCAATCTGATTGGTGTCCTATAAGAAGGGGTCACACGCGGAGGGAGAAGTAAGATGAAGGCAGAGACTGGAGTGTTGCATTGACAAGCTAAGGGATGCAACAATGACCAGCAAGTCACCAGCAGCAGGAGAGAGGCTGGGACAGATTCTCCCTCAGACTCAGAAGGAACCAGCCCTGACAACACCTCGATCTCAGACTTCCAGCCTTCAGAGCTATGAGAAAATACATTTTTGTTTTGTAAACCATTCAGTCTGTGGTAGTCTGTTAGGGCTGCCCTAGAAAACGAAGTAGCTCCAAGTAGCTCAAATTAAGTATCTTCAATCACTGGCTATGTCTCATCTAGAAAAAGGACATGACAAGGAGAAACATTCTTTCTAAAACCTGGAAAGGTGCTGACAAACTTCTGGTGAGTCATGACTGCCAAAAGATGGTAACAGTTCACCCCCGAGTGGGTGGGTGATACCAACAGTGAAGAAACATTTTAGGGGAACAAGTGTGTCAGGGAGGCAGAGTGTCTGGATCCTCATTTACTCCTGAGCTTAATTTAGATGACATATTCCTACACATCTACTTCAAGACACCTTCTGCTTTCCTTTTCTTCCCATGCCTTTTCTCCCTCTGTCTGATCTAAACATTACAGAGGGTACTGGAGGGAGCTGAGGGAGAGGAGCACAGGTGGAGAGGAGCCGGGTCTGAACAGCTGGCTACTCCCCAACAGGAGGCCTGAGAGCACTGGTTGTGGGGTAACCACGAGCCGGTAATGATTGAGTCTTGGTTCCTTTCTTTTAAAATAAGTAGTCCTGCCTGGCTGGGTAGAGGTAGCTCAGTTGGTTAGAGCCATCTCAATAAGCCAAGGTTGTGGGTTTGATCTCTGGTCAGGGCACCTACAAGAAGCAACCAATGAATGCATGAATAAGTGGAACAACATATCAATGTCTGCCTGCTTGTCTGTCTCTCTCCCTCCCTTTCTCTCTCTCTCTCTCTCTCTTAAACATCAATCAATCAATCAATCAATCAATCAAAATTTAAAATAAGTAGTCCTGGTGACTTACAGAGAGATTCAGCTTCTGTGATGTTCAGAAACAAAAGCATTACTTCTTCATGCATCACACTTCCCCCTAGTACCTGAAACCCCATTCCAAGTGGTCCTGAGCTCCATCTTCTGGGGGATTTTGCTTCTTCAACCAATCAGTGTCCCAAGCTGGGAAGTGGCGAAGGGCCAGACCTCTGCCCTAGCTGATCAAGGGGTCACCCTGACAGGTCGCCCTGTCAACTTTGAGAAGCATGGCTCCATGTCTAATTTTTTCGTTTTTAATCCTCACCCGAGGATATTTTTCCATTGATTTTTAGAGAGAGTGGAAAAGAGAGGGAAAGACAGAGAGAAATATTGATGGGCGAAACACATCGATTGGTTGCCTCCTGCACTCGCTCCAACCAGGGTTTGGGCTGGGGAGGAGCCCGCAACCGAGGCATGTGCCCTTGACCGAAACTGAATCCGGGGCCTTTCAGTCTGCAGGCAGATGCTCTATTAACTGAGCCAAACCGACTAGGGCTCCAGGGTCTAATTTTTAAATGATGACATTTTTAGGGGTGGTGGTTTCAAATAAATAAAATGGAGTCATGTGGATTAAATATGACTTTGGGAGGAATAAAAGGCACTGCAGCAAAGCTGGGGAAATGAGACCCGAGAGCACATAAAGGATGTCCACACTCAAGTGGTGGAACTGAACTCTGAGAAGTGGGGCTGAGATCAAGGATACGCTCCTTCTTTTTTTCCTGCACTCCTCATCCCCCCACAAAACAGCCCTATTTATATTAAGTATAAAACTGAAAGGCTGGTCAGGAATCAGCCAAGCACTGTATCCACCCACCCCACCCACCTTCAGAGAGAAACCTGGCCATCTGCAGCCAAGGAGAGGATACTTGGGACGCCAGACCATTGTTTCCAGTTCCCTAATATATGCATGTTAAGAGGCCTGAAGCATTGAGTAGCTTCAGAAAAGAGAAGAAGACCCATGGGTGGGAGTTGCATGGATAGAGAGTTCAGGTCAGCAGAAGGTAGAATGTTTAACAATCAGGCTCTGCAACAATGGCACCGGCCCTCCAGAGGGCTGGGAGTAACTATCACCGAGGAATTAAGAGAGATTGGGATGCCAGCTGTGGATGTGCACCATGTTCACTGACCAATGGGGAAGGCGGCGGGGAGTAGGTGGGTAGATATTTTCATGCCATGATTCTAAAGACTGCAGAATTCAAGGACAAATCATCCATCAGTGTTAACTATTTTATACCGCTCTGTAAGACTGAAACAACATCCTCCAGGAGGAAACCAAGTTAATTATGGGAAACTGTCCTTAAGTAAGAAAATAAATCAGGTGGAGGGAAGAACCCCAGCAGCCCCAGTGGATGGCATCTGTGCCCCGTAACCTCTTCGGGTACCAGCTGCCTCAGTTGTCCTGGTGAAGGTGATAATGAAAGCTACCGATGGGGTTATGGGGAGAAGAAAATGACATAACAGATAACTGAATGTTTACTATGGGCCAGGGACTATTTTAAATGCTTTGCTTATATTGCTTAATTCTTACAACTGCACATTTTACAAATACAGAAACACAGGCAGAGAGAATAAGTGAGTTACTCAAGGCTGCCCAGCTAGGAAGAGGGAGAGGAGGATGAAACCCAAGGGATGTCTACATGTTGCACCCAAACACTTAGCACAGTGCCTGGGACAAGGTGGGGCTTGTGATGACTATTATTACAGAGGCAACACAATATGGTCGCGAGAGGGAGCATTCTACAGCCAGTCTATGTGACATCATACAGGAAACTCAAGTTCTCTATACTTGGTGTTCTTATCTGTAAAGTGGGCACAAAATGTCCATTCCATAGGGAGCCTCACAGATTAAGTGATTTAATGCATGTTAAATGTTTAGAAGAATACCTGGAAAATAATCAGTGCTCCACAATCTAAGTTAATACCATATAAACATGCTCTAGATTACAAATACATCCAGGTGTTTAGTATGTTAATATAACCCACTCTATGTTCATGTCTGTAATGTACACAAAGGGCAATCACCCAAAAGTCACAGCTTAGTGACGAGGCATCCGTAACAGCCACTGATATCTTCTGGTTGCACAGTATAGGAGAAAGTGCATTTATTAGATTGCTTTGTGCTTAGCCAAACTCCAATGGTACACAGGCCCTCAATTCTAGGGATGGTGGTGATTTTTCTACAGGAGGTTCTTGTCTAGGAACCCTGCCTCTCAGGTTCTCCCTGAATCTCAAGTGAAATTTCCCAGATTTGAATGAGGGAAGGGGAAGGGACTGAGAAGAAATGGAATGTTTTCCATAGACTCTCTGCTGTAAGCTCTCCAAGAGACGCCCGGGACTGGTTGGGGGATGGAGACTGATGTCTTTAGTAACCACAGGGAGCTTCACAGAGCAGGAGGGGCTGGCACCTGCAGGACAAGTGAGATGCGCCCAGGGAGCAGGTTGGTGGATGTCTGCATGTGGGAAATCTGCAGAGCTGGTGGTCCTGCTGTCCTACCTGGTGAGCTTGGTGCCGATCTGCTGCCTCAGCTCCAGCCTCTCTTCATCCGTCTGCCTGGGAAGGATGTTCTTTTCTTCTAGCTCTCGCTTGGAGGGCCTGTTGCTGAGTTTGATGGCTAAGGAGTCCTTCCGGCACACCTTCATGGCCAGGGAGCCTGCAGGAGGGGAAACGAGTTAATAACGCTGACACACACCTGCCCAGGCGCCCATAGGAACAACTGTGGGTCACAAGGTGAAAGGCAGGAAGACAGTGGCTTCACACCTGAGAGTGGGTAAGGCCCCAAAGGACCCTTCCATAGAGTTCCTGCAAGCAACAAGCTGGGTACACCTTGCAGTGCTGAGTATGTGAGGGGCACAGGGGAGCCTGTGATTGGATCTTGGCTCTCCAGGGACCGCCGGTACGCAGGCAACACCGTAAAGGAGGGACAGACTGGAGAGTAATAGAAGCAAAAGGGGGAGAAAGGACAGGGGTCTTTAGTAACCACAGGGAGCTTCACAGAGCAGGAGGGGCTGGCACCTGCAGGACAAGTGAGATGCGCCCAGGGAGCAGGTTGGTGGATGTCTGCATGTGGGAAAGCTCAGAGGTGACAGATCGTCACAGGAGACAAAGGAGATCAGTGACTGTGGAGCCAGGGTCATGAAGGAAAATAAAGCTGGGCAGACAGTGAGGTCTGTTTGGGGTGGGAGTGGAAGTGAGTTCATTAAAATAGTCAATATTCTGGGATAGTTTTTCTTTCAATGTAAGGAGTTCTGAGCAGCCAGCCAGGGCAGGGCTGCCTTCCATCTGGAATAAATCTATGGCTCTCAACCAGGGTGATTTTGTTCCCCAGGGGACACTTGGCAAAGTCTAGAGACACTTTTGATTGTCAAACTGGGTTTGGGGGGAGGCGCTTCTGGTATCCAGCGGGCAGAGGCTAGGGATGCTATTAAATATCCCTCAGTGCACAGGACAACAAAGTCTAATCTGGCCCAAAATGTCACCTGTGCTGAGGCTGAGAAACGCTGCTGTAAAACATTCACTTCTCTGGGCAGGGAACAGTGCCCGGGGCTGAGCAGCTGCTCCTTCCTCCCTGGGTCAATTAGGCCTTTGGCCACCCCTCGTGCTCCTCTCCTGGACATCACCTTGATCATGCCATTGCCACCAGGACTCCTACCAGCAGCAGGAGGAGAGTGGGAAGCAGCAAGTTTGGGGGATTCCTCTGGATTTTATCTTGTAGGCTAGTCCTCTCCCCTCCTCACTGGTTTTACAACATGGACTTTGGAATGAGACAGTGGTATCAAACCCTAGCACTGCCCCTGAGTAGATGTGAGGCTCTGGGCAGGTCACTGGCCTCTCCCTTTTCTTCCCCTCTCTGTAAAATGGGGCAATAGTGTCCATGCTACCGCGTGTTGTAAGATGTAGATAACAGAATAAAAATCTTAGCACGTGGCCAGGCACGGTATATATTCAGTGAAAAGTCGCTATAAGTTAATTTATTACAAAGTTAACCAAATATCAGTTTCTAATCACTTAACTAAAATGTATTGATTACTCATGGCCAGAATGACAGATTTTGAACTTTGCTTTCTTCATCTCTTCTCTCTTAGCACATTTGAGGACCTAAGTAAGAAATTTCAATTCAGACCTTCTCAATTTTGTTGAGGTCTGCTTAAAGTGAATTTGCTGCATACACAATGGTGAGTCTATATGAGTATTATGCAGATTCAAATTGAATTTCAGGGTTCCTACCCCTTTTTTTGAGGGAGGGGGCTGCATCCTAAGGGAAGCAGCTGAATCAAGGAAGAGCCATCTAAGAGGTAGCAGGTGCAGCAGGATGTAACTTTTAGAGCTATGGGGATGTTCAGAGGACACTGACCCTTTCATTTTACTAATGAAAACACTGAGGCCCTAAGAGGTTAATGGAGCTGCCCTGTGACCCAGGGCCGGCTGACACCAGACCTCAAGTTAGAACCACAGTGTTGGGCAGCTCATCAGCGCTCTTTCTATAAAGGCCCCGCCCCATCCCCAATGAAGAGCTGGATGCACGCACTGGTGTACAATGAGCTGTCGTCATCCTCGTCTTCCTCCTCCTCCTCCTCTTCCCTTGTGTAGAGACAGGAAGAGTCTTCGTAGTCTGATTCATGAGGCACATTTTCTTTATTGTCATCACATTCAATCACAACAGTTGGCACTTGTCTTATTTCTGGAAGGCCCAGAGGTCCTGCTTTTGTGATACCGTCACCCGAGTGCAAACTGGAGCTGTGGTAAGAAGTGGGGCAGGGGACCCGCTGCTCAGAGCTGTTCAAAGAGAAGGAGGAAAGAAGACAGTCACTCTGGCTAATGTCTATACACGCATCAGAACCTTCTTAAAACTCAGTGGTCAGTTCCTAAGAGACAAAGGGTCTCCAGGGCAACTGAAGTCTCATTTCTCATCTTATAGTTAAACATTTGAGGGCAGCAGACTTCTCTGATGGTGGCAGCAGCATGGGGTAGGAGTAGGAATCCATATTCCCTGTGGATGGATGGTGGTGACACTGGCACAGCAACGAGAATGTCCCTAATGCCACTGAGCTATACACTTCAAAATGGTTAAAATGTAATTTTTTTTGTCCTGTGTATCTACAATTAAAAAAATAAAAACACAAAATTGAAAAATAAATTTCATTCCACAAGTGTTTCTGGTTAAGAGCCATATCTCCAAGTGGCAAAGGAAAGTTTCTTTGCCACTGACATGTTTCGTAGGAGGAGTAAAAGGATTAATTTGATGGAGAAGCTAGAGGTCCAGAGAAGAGAGAATGCATGAGGTTCTAGCTTTCAGAGATCCACAGTGTGGCTGGTAGAGGCTGAGTGTGGGACAGAATGTTTGAAACTTCATGCATGGAGAGATTCAGGGAAAGAGAAGAGGTGGGACCACAGGGCTGGCGACTCATTCATGAACATCAGGGTGGATGTGGTCAAGGATGACTTAGAGAGAATTCTCTCCCCTCAATAGCCACAAGTACCATCGTCTTGTTTTTCCTCTTAAATTGAGCCAACTCAAATAAAATGTATTTTTAATGAAAAATTATTTGCTTCATAAATAGAACCCATATAAGTCCATTGTAGGAAAATTAGGAAATGCGTAACATAAAAAAGTAGTTATTTTTTTTAATAGACTCTATCTTAGGCTCCTAAAGCAATTTAGAATCCTTTTCATGACAGACTCTGAATGAAGCCCAGCAAGAATAATGGGCCAGAAACACACAGCTGAATTTTATAATTCTTCTTCAGATTAATTGGAAGTGGGATTTATATCTTTTATTTAAGAAATTTCTAAAATGTAGAAAATTCAACACATTTACCATCCAAAAGTGTTTGATATTCATAAAATAATGGAGTGTGAGGTTATACTATATATCAATGAATTCACATTAAAATATTTTTATACAAAAGAAAAATCTTACTCATGACATATGAATGCATGATAGGCTCCTTTTAAACTTTCAATTATGCTTTAAATTATTGCTATGTCTAATTTAAATTCAATTAACTTTCTTCCTTCCATTGTTTCCAAAGCGCTGTTTTGCTCTTTATATTTTTCACATAACTCTTCAGTGACACAAATGGAAAATCTAGTTAACACATTATGAGCTTTGACATTCAAGGCAATGAATTCAATCAACTAAAAAAAAGCCCTTCAACTACTAAGATTAAATCAAATATTTACAAAAATACAGCATTTATTAGACACTAGAGGCCCAGTGCACAAAGTTTGTGCACTGGGTGGGGGGCAGGAGGAGGTCCCTCAGCCCAGCCTGTGCCCTCTTGGACATCCTAAGCCAGCAGTCGGACATTCTTAGTGCTGCCGTGAAGGTGGGAGTGGCCACTGCGCTTGCCAGCCGTGAGCCTGGCTTCTGGCTGAGCTTTGCTCCCCCTGTGGGAGTGCACTGACCACCAGGGGGCATCTTCCTCATTGAGCGCCTGCTCCCTGGTGGTCAGTGCACATCATAGGGACTGGTTGTGCCACTGTTTGGTCAATTTGCATATTAACCTTTTATTATATAGGATGAGCAGGTAAAGGGGTCCATTTTCCATTTAGTTCAATACAAATGGTCATGAGCACAGGAAGGTGGAGAACATGGTAGATGGTGTCTGGGTGACAAATATAACAGTTGACTGAAAGGTGACTGACTGGCAGCACTAGTGCCCCACCTCACAAGGCGCCCCTCGTTCAGGCAACCACACGCACTGCATCCCAATTCTGCTTGGGATTCTACATTGGGTATTAGAGGAAGCAGGGACAGAGGAGGCAGAAATGTAATTCCATGGCTCATGCTTTGCCCCACCTGTCTTCTCCTCTCCCTAAGCTATAAATTAATTAACAATGGCTCCAACAAAGGCACAGAGCTGAGAATATTAGATCTGAGGGATAAAAAGCAGCCCATAGATATTTATGTTTGGTGGGAAAAAGAGTTGGAAAGCAGAATGTATAAATTCCTTAAGGCAAAGGGTTCCAAAGTGCCTCAAGAAGACCAAAAAAGGAGAAATATTATGCAAAGGAAGACCAAAAAACAAAGCTGTGATCAACAGGGCACTATGGTTTCTCTTCCCTCAAAGACATGAGGGAGTGTGAGTCTGAGTAGAATGGGATTGGAAGGCTGATCCCCCAGGTGCTTAGGCAGGTACTAGGTATCATGTGACCTACTAGCTTTGTGAAATGGGGACCAGCCATGGAGATCAGCGACTGCCTGTGGGGGTGCTATAGACCCAGCTGGGACCTCACATGGCCAATAAGGTCATCTTTCTGAGGTGTGACTCTAGCACATGATAGAATGTTTACTTTCTGGCCAGCATGGCTCAGTGGCTGAAAGTTGACTTATGAACGAGGAGGTCAAGGTTCGATTCCTTGTCAGGGCACGTGCCCAGGTTGCAGGCTGATCCCCAGTGGGGGGTGTGCGGAGGCAGCTGACCAATGATTCTCTCTCATCTTTGAGGTTTTTTATCTCTCTCTCCCTCTCCCTTCATCTCTAGAAAAAAAAAAGGAATAAAGAAAAAAGAATGTCTACTTTCCCATAAGGGTGAAAAGGTGTTTTCTAGGAAGTTAGGTGAATCCACCAAAAGGGTTTTTAAATATTCTATTCATAAATACCCATTGACTGCCAACTCTGAGGGGAAGGAGGACAAACACCCAGATGAGCTCGTCTAGCTGGTAACTCTGGAGAAGCACAGGAGAGCAAGAAAAGACAGATGTGAGCGATGGGTTGGCTGAGGAGGAGGTTGGGAGGTGATTAAGCGACCTCAGATTCAGGAGTTAGGATATAAATCTGACTCCAAATTTTGCCACTTACTATTGGTTAAATTATCCACTGGCCATGCCCTTATGGAGACCCTCACTTGTTATTTATAGAAATGGCTTTCCAAGTGGTTTCAAAACACTCCCAGTTTCAGTCTAGTTTCCACACCTCTGTCAGAGCAACTTTCTAAAACTCAGATCTAGTCTCACTGTTACAACTCTGCCTGCCCTATCTCCAACCACTGCTTCAAGGGCGACAAATAGAAAATCCAGTGAACACATCATGAGCTATACTATTCAAGGCAAGGAACTCAGTGTAGCCCCTTAATACACTTGGCCTCCAACCTGGTTGTGGGTAGGAAGGAGAACACACAGCTGAACGTCAGTCTTAGCAATGCCGGTTTTATACACTGGAGTTGTCACCTAGAAGGTGTTGTGTTCTACGTGAAAGGTCTCACTGCTGAAGGAAAGTAAAAACCCAGAAGCAGTCATGCAATGCCTCACAAAATTTGACCCATATTATGAACCCAGCCTCTGTCCCCATACAATTTCCTCCTTGGTCACGCACAACAATGCATTGCACACTCTTGGCCTGGAGTGTGCTCCCATTCCACCTTCACCCTAATTTCTATTTACCTTTTAATAACTGGCTCAGGCAACATGTTGCCTGTGTTCCTGGGAGATTCTGCAATAGTGAAAATTGGGAACATTTGTTTGCTTGCTATCTTTCCTTCCTCAACCAAGCTGTAGGCTGCTTGAGGGACCGGGACCATGTCTAATGCATGTTTGTAGCAGATGCCTAGCACCATGCCTGACACAAACTGGACACCCAGTAATTGCTCACTGTTTTTGCTGAATGGAGGAAATATGGGCTGTGACCATCGATACTCAGGTGCAGTTGTAAGTGGTTGACAAATCATTTTTACAGGGTATTAAGAGATCTGTTTTTAATTTTCAGGGGGGCATCTGGTGGTGTATTACAGGGCTGTGGGTGTCCCTGACTTGGTTGCCACTTTAATCAATGGCTTTAATAATGGAAAGGGCATCCTGATCCAATAGGTGGGAGAACAGGGGCAGAGAAGGAAAGGAGGGAATGAACATTTATTGAACATCTTGCCTACTGTTCTAGAAGCGTTCACATTCAGCATCTCATTTCATCTTTCTAATAACTCTGCAGGAGAGGTGTCATTATCTCATTTTATTAAGCAGGAAATAGAGGCTCCAAGGGGGTAACAAATAGGTGCATGAGGACACTGGGAATAAAGAAAGAAGAGAATCTGAACGCACTCTGCTTCAATGCATTATATCCAAAAACTGAATTATGCTACTTGTAAGATTGTGTACATTGATTCAACACAAACCCCACTAATTGTACACATGTAAGGTGAAGAGAACGAACAACACGTGTAAAAATGGGCATCATTACTTTTTAAATATTTTAAATCTTGCTATCCAGGGTAAGTAATAGTGTTCTACCCCACCATGGTCAGGCCATACCTGGGGCAAAGAGTTTAAAGGATTCATCTTAGACACTGGATTATAACGGTCAGGATGGTGAGAGGAGTCACTTGCTGACCCATTGTCATGGCAGAGTTGAATACGTGCCACAGATCGTCAAATATTTACTCTCTGGTTCTTATGGAAAAAGTTCTCTGACTCCTGGTCTAAACCAGGATTCCTAACCCTTGATCATAGGCATACTCCTTAGTGTGTTTTTGGTCTGTGCCATGTCTGAAGCTCAGTTACACTATTATGTATGTTGTATTTTTAAATCAACACTTAAAAAAACTTAAATACTAATTTAGCCTCATCTTAAGCAATAATATCTTTGTAATCATAGACTTCATATGCTAATTATGTGTTTATAACTTACGGTTAAATGAAATGACTATTAAATCTTTTATAAAAGGCTGTGCTAAGCTTGCTTTGTGTACCACCATTGATGCATACATCACACTTGGGTGAGTGATGGCCTGGAGACCCTCTCACCTGCAGCATGATTGACATTTCAGGTTAGACAATTCTT